TGTCTTCTCATTGTAGTTCATTACTAGGGACTAGCAATATCTAAGTTTGGGGATGTGATGAGTGCTCAAATGTAACGCATTTTAGCACTTAAGTTAGGGTATTTTAGTCCATTCATCTATCTTTATTTTCCCGTTTTAGACTAATTTCATGTTATTTCCCTTTTCAGGCACTTATCCCCAAAATAAGTCAATTCAGCTAAATTAGAGTATTAAAAGAAGCAATCTCAAACCAAGTGGAAGAAATGAGCAAAGTGGAAGCAAAATGGTGAAAAAGTCCTCTACGATCGATCGAACCAAGCTATGATCGATCACACTGTGATCGTTCCAACCCTACCATGATGGATCGAGCCATTTGTCCTTATCCTCAGGAAAATTTCCTATTCGATCAATCCAACCTTTTCTCTAATCGATCAAACCCTTTTGATCTTATCCTCACCAACTACTTTTGTCCTTTTCCCAAAAATATCTCAGCCTTGTCCTTATCCAAAAAGTGCGCCGCCATGGTTCAATCGATCAGAGCAATCATGTGATCAATCGAACTGCCTCAAATTACGTGAAAAACATATTTCAAGCCAAATTGAAGGTGTGCTCGTGGTGCAATCATTTGAAGGTCCTAATGCACGAAGTTAGACCATTAGGTGTGACATTTGAGCTACCTATATAAGGAATTTGGCCATTTTTAGTAAGAGGTTGGTTAGTTAGAAAGGGAATTGGCTAGAGATTAAAGAGAGAAACATACATTTTGGGAAAGTTCTTCCACTCATTTAGGGTTTCTACCAAGAACACTAAAGGAGGAAGATGAATTCTACCATAGAGATAGCCTTTGAGAGTTGGATAACAACATTAATGAGTAGCTAAACCATTCTCTTGGGGCTAGAGATAGCCTTAAGCATGCCTCCTAAACTTTGATACTTTGTAATTAATAGGGATTTGTGTTGTAATTCTTGTTTTGACCTCTTATATATATAAATCTTGTTTCTACATGATTTGGGTAGTTTAATACTTCCAATTGAGCATTTAACTCTATCCATATGTCTATATATGCTAGAATGAATGTTCATGTGTTTATCTCTAGAATTTGTGACATTGATGCATGTCTATGTGTGTTGATATTAAGAATCTAATGATGGTCAAGGCATGGTGCTTAAATGGATTACTCTTGTGGTTTATTTGATGGTTCAGACTTATTTCTTGATGGATTGTGCCACCTCCTTAGTTTAATTAGTTCACTTTTCATGTCATTAGCTTAGTTATAGTGTAATTGCTTTAATTTTTTAGATAGGTGGACAATCCATTCTTATTGTTTGATATTCCATGCTTATGAATACAAGTAGTGTATTTCTCTAAATTCTTGAGTGTGCATTGATTGTGGGCTTTATGGAAGGATTAATAACTTAATTTGATATATTGTGTTATTCACTAGATTGATTAGACAATGTATGCTTATGTGGCCATCCATATTTAATATTTCAATTAATGGCACACACTTTCATTTACAACACATAATCCCCCTAATCTATCAAATATTGAATGTCTAGGAATGCAATGTTTAGTGGTGAACTCTATGTCCCAAGACGACTCTCTCATTCTCTGCACCTCATTTACTTAGTTGTTTCGCATTGCATTACTTTAGTTTAAATTGTAGTATAATTCAACCAACAACCCCTCTTTTGATCATTCAGCCTACTAATTCAACATTGATTCCAAAATACCCTTCCTTTCCCTTGGGACAATCCCTACTTGCTCTTGCTACATTAGTAGTTAGTAGTGGTAGTGGCATTCTATAAATTTAAACTTGGCCACACTTTACCACAATTGTGCTTTGGTACTCGGACACACCACGGCTTATGCACTTAGAAATTTTTTTGGCAACATGCATTTTTGAAAAACATACAATGTATGCAAGTGTCCTAACATTCTAACTCAACTTCCTAAGATATTATTCTTACCTTTTCATAGTCTTTAAGCTATCAAACAGAACAACTCTTCAATTCCGCTACCAATCTCAAACTTGAATTTTAAACTCAGAATTACAACTCAATCGGACTCGTTTTGACAACAAAATTAGCCAATTACAAAATATATATATCACAAATAAACCAAGAGCCTTGTGACTCAGCGTATCTCTTCCATCTCCCCAAAGTGAATGGTGAGGGGTCGGATCCCAAAAGGACAAAAATGAGCTGCGCGTGTGATAAGTGTGTTTCTCAATAATTTTTTTTTCTTTTTTTTTTTTTTTTCGGAACCGTGCACAAAAAGTTGTACAAGAGAACATCTCTCACAATTTCATCATCTTTTTGGTCTGTTTGGTAGGAAAGCGTGAGAATATGTAATAAAATTTAGGACTAATTACAACGACACCCCCTTGAGATTTGTCATATTGACAGTCATATACAACTTAGTCATTTTTTAGACAAAGACATCCCTTTAAATTGGATAAAACTAACAAAGACACCCCAATGGTCCTTACACATAGTAAATTGACATTATTGTCCCTTGACACATACAATTACCAATTTATCCTTTTTTTATTGACCAAAATACCCTACTAATAAACCAAACCAACAGCCACCACACCCACCACCACCATTTTACCCGTAATCCATCTTTTTTTCCCCAAATTCACTTCCCCCGAATGCCTGTAATCTATATATATGTGTGTGTATGAATATATACCATTCCTTAAGTGCTAGGGGAGTTTCATAGATGGCTGTCTTATGCCTCAGAGAGCAGGGGTTAGGAGCTTATCTGTGTGAAGAGCTCAGCCTATCGTTACCATTGAATTAGAAGCTTTTGTTCCAGTTCCATTAACAAAAAGGAGATCCAATAAGCAGTTTCAGAAAAGCAAATGGTATAAGGATCTAGAATCCAGTCTTGGGTAGAAATAAGCCTAGAAATAGATACTGGAAATAGATTGTGATTAATCGAACCCTCACCGCCATCATCGTTCTTCTCGCCGGAGCGGCTAAGCCTCGGCATCGAACCACAATCGCTATCATCGTTCTTCTCTAGCCGTCACCCTTGTCTGGTATGATGGTCGCCTTCGTCGAAACTTCCACTGGTCGTCATTGCCGTCGTCGGGAATCGCAGTTGGATCACAAACTTTGGTTTGGTGGTGGGTTAGCGGTGCGATGGTAGTGGCTGTGGATGAGGATAAGTGGTGGTGGTGGGTTAGCGGTGCGATGGTAGTGGCTGTGGATGAGGATAAGTGGTGGTGGTGGGTTAGCGGTGCGATGGTGGTGGCGGTATAAGGTGGGAGATGATGGCGGCGATTGTGGTAATTGGGGAGAATTATACCGTAAACCGATTCTTTAGTTTGCATAATTCTTTCCATGGAAGACCTTATTGTCACGGACTTGAACCTTTTCAAGCTCCCGTGCGGCCTTAGACACTTTCAAGCCCCCTTGAAGCGCTAAGTCAGCCTACCCGAGTGTGCTAGCTTAGTGAAGACTAAGGCTAGACAAGTGTTTTGCTTACTTGGGTGTGTAGGAAGAGGTTAGGCAAGTGAGCAAGAGAGTTTGGGAATGTATAGAACTTGTATTACTTGAGAGGAGAGATTACAACTTGGTTGCTTGGTGAGGAGCAAATGAACTCCCACCTCCTATTTATAGGCCTTTGGCCTTACAAGAACATTCTAGATGTGTACAAATGTGTGGCCTAGATTTAGTGTCTAGAATCCTCCAGAAATATCTACACAACTCTAGAACTATCTACTATGTACAAGACAAGTCTAGAGAATTCTAGAGAATTCTATACAACTCTAGACAAGTCTAGAAAAGGCTAGACAACTCCACACTAATCTAGAGAATTCCGGAAAGTTCCATACTTGTGTAGAGAAGTCTAGAAAGCTCCAATCCATGCAGGCTCCATGTCATCGTCTGCTGGGCGTCTGCGTGGCGCCTGCGTGGCATAGCCTCTTGGTAGCGGGGTGTGACATTCTCCCCCACCTAAGCTCGCGACGCCCTCGTCGCGTCTTCTTGCTTGAACCGCTGGATATGCTCTGCGAACTGCCATAGTGTATCCTCATGCTCCCAGCTCGCCTCGCTATCTGGCAGGTTTTTCCACTTCACTAAATACTCTGTATATTTGGGCACACCTCTCCTGCTCATCACACGATCTGCAAGGATGCAATCAACTTCCTTGTCAAAGGATGTGACAACGGCCGTGGGTGCCCTATGCGATATGCCCCGAGTAAGGTCTTCCATGTCTTTATGATAAGGCTTGAGCATGCTGACATGGAAGACTGGATGTATCTTCAACTTGGGTGGAAGCTCCACCATGTAGGAGACCTTGTCCACCCGCTTGACGATGGGGAACGGGCCCTCGTACCTCCTTACTAGCCCCTTATGCACGCTCCGGAAGGACTTGAATTGTTGGGGTAGTAGCTTAACCATCACTTGGTCTCCCACTATGTACTCCACCCGCCTTCGCTTGGTGTCGGCCCACTTCTTCATCTTCTTTGCCGCCTTGTCAAGGTACGCCCTAGCCAAGTCGGACTGCTCATGCCACCTCTTGGCAAATTTGTAGGCCGCCGGACTCTTACCATCGCGAGTTGAAGCAATGGCGTTGGGTGTCATAGGCTGCCGTCCGGTGACAACCTCAAATGGACTGTGATTGGTAGCCTCACTCCGCTGCAAGTTGTAAGAAAACTGTGCCACCCCAAGGAGTTTGGCCCAATCTCGCTGATTAGCACTCACATAGTGCCTCAAATAAAGCTCCAGGAGAGCGTTGATGCGCTCTGTCTGCCCATCTGATTGGGGGTGGAAACTCGTAGAGAAGTTAAGATCCGTCCCCATCTTCTTGAAGAGTCCCGTCCAAAATCTACCCGTGAAACGCGGGTCTCTATCACTGACAATATTCTGCGGAACTCCCCAAAGCTTGACCACATGGTCAACAAATAACTCTGCTGCCCTCTCTGCTGTGCAGTCTGCTGGTGCGGGTATGAAGGTGGCATACTTGCTGAATCGATCTACCACCACTATAATGCTCCCGCAACCCTCTTACTTGGGTAAGCAAGTGATGAAATCCATAGAGACGCTCTCCCATGGTCTCTCTGGAATAGGCAGTGGCTCTAGTAGGCCTGCAGGATGCTGTTGCTCAATCTTATCTTGTTGGCACACAAGACAAGTCCTCACATATGTCTCCACGTCATCTCGCATCCGAGGCCAATAGTAAGAATCTTCAAGGAGTGCTAGTGTGCGCCGCATACCTGGGTGACCAGCCCATTTGGTGTCGTGGCACTCCCGTATTAGCTCCTTCCGTAAGTTGCCCCACCTGGGCACAAAGAGTCGGTCCCCCGTAGTGAGAAGTAAATCATCCCTTAGCCAAAAGCGTCGAGTCTTCCCTTCCTTAGCTAGCTGAATAAGGCTTTTGGCTAGAGGGTCATGCTGCAACCCTTCTTTGATTCGCTCCACAAGAGAGTGTTGGGGCCGACTAATAGCTGCGAGCTCGGCCTTGCGACTAAGTGCGTCCGCCACAACATTGGCCTTGCCCGGCTTATATTCGAAATGGTAAGTGAACTCCGCTAAGAAGTCCTGCCAACGAGCTTGCTTGGGGCTAAGCTTCTTCTGTGTCTGGAAGTAGCTGGTGGCAACATTATCCGTCTTGATCACAAATTGTGCCCCGAGCAAGTAGTGCCTCCAAGTACGTCGGCAATGGATGACCGCCGTTATTTCTTTCTCTTGCACAGTATAGCGCCGCTCAGTGTCATTAAGCTTGCGGTTCTCATAAGCTATGGGGTGTTCTTCCTGCATCAACACACCCCCAATAGCGAAGTCTGATGCATCCGTGTGCACCTCATATGGCTTGGAGTGGTCGGGCAAGCTAAGTATCGGCTCCTCCGTTACTGCCCTCTTCAAGTCATTAAATGCCCCCTGGCACGACTCTGTCCAACTCCAAGCACGTGCCTTCTTGAGAAGGTCTGTCAATGGGGCTGCTCTCGCCGAGTAACCCTTGATAAAGTGGCGGTAGTAGTTGACAAGCCCAAGGAATGAGCGTAGCTCTGTCACCTTAGTGGGCGGCTCCCACTCTTGAATGGCCCTCACCTTTGCCTCATCCATCATCAGCTTGCCATCCCGTATCTTATGCCCTAGGAACAACACCTCCTCTTGGGCAAATGAGCATTTCTCCATCTTCACATATAGGTCGTTCTCCCGTAGGACTTGGAAGACCGCCCTCAAGTGCTGCACGTGCTCCTCTTGAGTGGTGCTATACACAACAATATCATCCAAGTACACCACCACAAAGCGATCCAAGTAGGGATGGAAGAGCTTGTTCATCAAAGTACAAAAAGTAGCAGGTGCATTGGTGAGGCCAAACGGCATAACAAGAAACTCATAGGAGCCATACCTCGTTACACACGTAGTCTTAGGCTCATCCCCGTCCGCTATCCGCACCTGGTAGTACCCCGAGCGCAAGTCAAGCTTAGTGAAGTAGCGTGCTCCACCAAGCTGATCAAAGAGATCGGCAATGAGAGGAATGGGGTACTTATTTTTGATAGTCACCTTGTTGAGTGCCCGGTAGTCGATGCACATGCGCAAGGACCCATCCTTCTTCCTCTGGAACAACACCGGTGCACCATATGGGGCCTTCGATGGTCGAATATAGCCCGCATCTAACAGTTCCTTAAGTTGCCTCCGCAACTCCTCCAACTCTGGGGGTGCCATCCGGTAGGGCACCAAAGCAGGGGGTTTAGAACCCGGTTCCAGCTCAATCTTATGATCCACCTCCCTCCTAGGTGGAAGCTTCTTGGGCAGCTCTTTAGGCATCACGTCCGTGTACTCGTCTAGCACGGCTCGTATCTCCTTAGGCACCTCTTCTTGTGGGGAAGGGACTAGCTCATCTTCGGGTGTCTCCAGTAACGTAGCAAGGTAGCTAGTCTCTCCCTTCTTGAAGCCCTTCTTGAACTGCATAGCTGACAAAGCTTGGGCTTCCAACTTGGCGCCTCGCTCCACTGGCACCATGCATGCTGTGTTGCCTTCCATAATACACATAGTGTTAGCAAAGGGGATGGGGAAGGCTCTCACCTTGTCTAAGAACTCCAACCCAAGGACTAGTTTGAAGTCGTCCATGGGTACCACCGATAGATCTATGTGGCCACCCCACTCGCCAATGCATGCTTGGACGCCGTGTGCCATGCCATGTATGGCCTTTGCCGCCGAGTTAACTGCCTTCATGGAGCCCCCTTCTTTGCTATACTTGAGGCCCAATCTCTTGGCCTCGTCAAGGCTCACAAAGTTATGGGATGCACCCGTGTCCACCAAAGCACGTGTGGGTGTCCCATTGATGCTCGCCTCCACGAACATTAGCCCTTTAGCCGCCGCCTTAGGGACTTCAGTTTTAGCCTTAATGGCATTAAGGATTTGCAATGAACCCATCTGCGCCTCTTCCTGTTGTTGCTCTTCATAACGGCTCGTCATGGCATTGAGGGTCTTCCGCTTTGGGCAATCTCGTACCCAATGTGGTCCATCACATATGAAGCAAGAACCCTTAGGCTTGGGTGCTCCTTCCTTGTTCTCCCTTCCCTCTTTGCCTCCATGGCCACCACCTGGCTTACGGGACCAATCCTTGTGGGGTGCAGCGCCCTTGTCTCCCCCACCTTTGCCGGCATACCTCCCCTTGTCCTTGTCTTTGTCTTTTGGCTTGGACGAGGGTTCCTTCTTGGAGCTGAAATCAATAAAGGACTCCGCCTCTGCAATAGCTGTGGCAAGGTCTTGCACGTTGCGCCGCCTTAACTCCGTCTTAGCCCACAACTGCAATCCATCCATGAAGAAGAAAAGAGAGTCCTTGTCGGATAGATCCGGGATCTCAAGAGTCAAGTTAGTGAATTCCTTCACATAGTCCCGAATCGACCCAACCTGTTTTAGCCTTCGGAGTCTGCCCCTAGCTTCATCCTCGGCATTCTCAGGATAGAAATGTTTCTTAATTTCCCTAGTGAAATCAGCCCAAGTATCAATAGAGACCGTACCTTTGCCTATGTCACCATACTTTTTCCTCCACCATAGCATGGCATGGTCGGTGAGGTAGTGGGTCGCCGTGCGTATCTTGATGGTCTCATTGGTCATGCCTGTAGCCTCAAAGTATTGCTCCATGCTAAAGAGGAAGTTCTCCAACTCCCTCGCTACCCGGTTCCCACCATAGCACTTAGGCTTGGGAATATCAACCCGGGGTGCTACTACCCCCGTAGTAGCTGTGCCGGACGCCACCGCCCGTTTGCACAATGTCCAGTCCGCTCGCATTTCCTCCACTTGCTCGCGGAAAGTGCCAAGCTCCTGATCAACATAGCCACGTAGGGTGGCAAACTCCCCTAACATAAGTTCTCGAAGTGCTTGGAGCTCCTGCCGAAAGTCACCACTTAGGGCATTGAGTGACCCTTTGACAGCATTCTGGACCTCAACGTCCTCCGACTCCAGCCCATCCATGCGTTGGTGAGCATCCTCAAGCTGCTCCAACACGTTGGCTATGGACCCCTCCATCATTGCCACACGTGCCTCTAAGCCCGCCATGATGTCCTTCGACCTAGCCCTCGTCCTCACTCCGCCTGGAAGGGGATTTGTTTCCTTTCCACGTAGAGTCTCCTCTTGGGTGCCAGTCACGTCTGATAGCTCCGCCATAGCTTCCTCCACACAAGGTGTGACGCCTCACGACCTTAGCTCTGATACCAACTGTCACGGACTTGAACCTTTTCAAGCTCCCGTGCGGCCTTAGACACTTTCAAGCCCCCTTGAAGCGCTAAGTCAGCCTACCCGAGTGTGCTAGCTTAGTGAAGACTAAGGCTAGACAAGTGTTTTGCTTACTTGGGTGTGTAGGATTAGGCAAGTGAGCAAGAGAGTTTGGGAATGTATAGAACTTGTATTACTTGAGAGGAGAGATTACAACTTGGTTGCTTGGTGAGGAGCAAATGAACTCCCACCTCCTATTTATAGGCCTTTGGCCTTACAAGAACATTCTAGATGTGTACAAATGTGTGGCCTAGATTTAGTGTCTAGAATCCTCCAGAAATATCTACACAACTCTAGAACTATCTACTATGTACAAGACAAGTCTAGAGAATTCTAGAGAATTCTATACAACTCTAGACAAGTCTAGAAAAGGCTAGACAACTCCACACTAATCTAGAGAATTCCGGAAAGTTCCATACTTGTGTAGAGAAGTCTAGAAAGCTCCAATCCATGCAGGCTCCATGTCATCGTCTGCTGGGCGTCTGCGTGGCGCCTGCGTGGCATAGCCTCTTGGTAGCGGGGTGTGACATTATGGTCAAGTTCAATTTGCTTCCATTTCATGAATCATGCGACTGAAAAATCATTTAGATAAGCCTTTTCAGCTACTGATACCTGCACGCGCGCGCGCGCGCGCACACACACACACATATATTTTTTAATATGTGCTTTATATGCCTGAATTTTTCCTAGCTTTTGTTTATGAACCTGAGCTCTTTGATTGTGTTTCATAATCTGTTTTGCTGGATTCTAAGATGTCGGCGGCAGATGTGATGGGGGCAGTGGCAGAGGTGGAGGAAGGAGGCGGTGAGATTGGTTATATGTGTGTGTGTGTGTGAGAGAGAGAGAGATGGTGCTAATGTAATAGTGTATATGTATAAGGGCAAATTTGACTTTTCGTGAGTTATGTTATTTTACCATAAAATGAATTAAACACTGAAGGGCAATATTGTCTTTTCAAATATTTTAAGGACTTGTTTGGTTCAAAATACTCATAGGGGTGTCTTTGTTTAAGAAAGGGCTAAGTTGTATATGGTTGTCAATATGACAAACCTCAGAAGGTTGTAATTAACCCTAAAATTTAAAAGTATGTATATGAATTAAGATGGCCATAACCTCTTAACAAGGTATACCACTGTGATCATCAAACAGTGACCCCTCTTCAGCCTGAAGATTTATGTATTATTGATGTCATTTACACGAATTGAACAATATTTGCCTCTACACCAGTTAGGAAGAACCTTCTCCACAAGAACCAAGGTGATGTTCTTTTACAAATTTAAAAAATGTAAAGAAAAAAGAAGAAGAAATGTTGACATACTCTCTCCCTCTCATATTTAAAATTCAAAACAGACACGTCATCTTGTCATCATACCACATTAGTGATGTGGACGAAGTTCCTCCTCACTAGAAAGGAAGTATTGGGGTTGTAAATGGCTCAAAACTAAAATAAAACAAAGAACTAACACAATTTCAAGAAAGTGAAAACGCTTTACTAATTCAATCCAAAGAATCACAAATCAAACAGCTACATCAATTGAAAGACTAGGTTAATAGGATACAAAATATATTATAATCACAAATGCAAAAAACTAATCCCCAAAGATAGAAGAGTCTTGGAGACAAAAGAACTCAATGACGCTTTCGGGAACATTGCAGCAAGCTATCTGGTTTCTACTTCTGACATGAAAATACTTCTTCATATGTCAAATGTTGGGACACCATAATACAATCCTACAGAACAACAAGTTCACTCCAGCATAGGAAATCAAAATCCAAAAATACAAAGACAAGCCGGTGGTGTTGTCATTCTATACAGCATGCTTTCACATAGTTTACCCTCCTAAGGCTCATGGGCAACAAAAGATTGGCTCCACCCTGTGAGGAAGAATATAAAATACCATAGACAATGTTGGTATAGGAAAGAGCCTTCTTACCCTTCCTTCAAGTGGCCATCGGATTTCTTCAATTCCCATGGTGGTAGGCAGCCTTTATAGTGGGATTGTAAAAATAATGAAGATATTGATACTTCGCTTTCCCTCGGATGCATTGAAATGGATGACAAGCAACTGAAGGAGCTCCTTAGTCTCTTCTTTTCACTATTGTAGCCCTGGAAATTTGGGTCATGTCGCACAGCAGAAGCTTTAAGGGCCTTTGGGAGTATAAAGTTGCAGAGTGAACCTACAAAGACACGAGCTAAGAATGATCCCATGACCACCAAGATCAGAATCTTCTTCTGACAAATTTTCTTTGCATTGTCATTTATAAACCTTAAAAGTGAATGGAATAATAAAATCAAAAACTTCGTATCCATTTAATTGATAGAGGAAAATATATGGAAGTTCCCAATTTTTACTTCTGCATTTGTTTAATTCAATAATAATAATAATAATAAAATGTTTATGAGAGCCCATTTGTACAGAAAATAAGCTATAAATGTGCCATTAGGAGCCTAGGGACTCATGGTTTAACAAACGGCCTTTTGTGGATTCAAGCTCGAAAGTGAGTTCTGACCTGTAAGTTTTATACATGTGCACCAGATGTTCATTGAAGAATTAAAGTCTCACTGTACTTTTTGTTGGAGTCTGATATACATTGTTGACCCATTCTCTATCAGCTTAAATTTGAAGCAATTGTAGTCTAAAGTGATATTAGAGTTTTACTAGTTGGAGACCTTAGTTTGAAGTCTTCATATATGCATTTTCCCCCAGATTTGGTGTGCAATTTGCACATTGTTGTGGTCTCGGTTTGATCAGTTTGGTTTGCCCCGCTACGTGTAAGATGGGGTTACCCGTTAGGGACTGTGTTCAAGCTTAATATACATTGGTGGGCCCATTCTCTAACAGTTCAAAATTTTTGGGCAATTGGTAATCTAACACTTTCAAGAAAGGTCCTATTTGTAACTAATCAAGAAGAGTACCAGAAGGCAGCAAGAAGGTTGTTCAACAGTCATCAAAACAACAAATACTTCAAGGTTTAATTGTCCCTTTGTAAGTCAAATTGCAGAAGGAGCAAGTAAAGCTCAAGCATTCAAGACAAATTGGGGGAAATTTCTTGCAAAATCGAATCTTATAAATAAGAATGGTGTATGATGAGGAAAGACATCAAATCTAGTACCTATTCTTGCTAGCCGATTTACCCATTTTGGCATCTGGTTCCCAGTCAGCTTGAAACATATGTCCTCACAGAAATGATTGCAATTCTTCACAACCAAGTGATATGTATCACCAATGTAGCTAGCAGATTGATGCTCAATGAATTCTCTAATCTGGATATGATCCAAGTATGTCATTCCCATGAATATTGACTTTCTGAACCTGAATCCAGGGCATTTCCGAGGTTCAACCTCAAAAACACCACTTGTTGGGTAGTCATGGGCTCCAAAAGCATATTCTACGCCGTGAACTGTAACCACGCATATAGACTATGAGAAAATGTTTGCTTTCATACTGTGAAATTTATGTTCTATAAAGATAAAATGAAATGAAATAAGATTTTGAAAGAATAAATTATTTAAATTACCCACCATTTTCCCGAAATAGCCCATAAACTAAATTTGAAGGTATGCTGACAGATCAGAACATACAAACGGATGGAAAAGACATGAATCTACTCAATGCATTCATGCACATACATATCACAAAATAGTTAGTATATTCATAAACAAACCACGAAAATTTGGATAGTGAACAAGTTTTACAATTATAGCTACTTAAAACTCATTTTATAGCACATGAAGAAGAATTAAAGATGAACCTTAAAGCTCAACTACATTTAAGAAAAGCATTAATCCAACTGACTGAAAACCAGCAAAAGAGCTTTATATGAAATTATTTCCCATTGAAACCTTCTTTTAATAAATAATGGCATGGGCACACAATGTGTACGAAATTCCTAAGCTCTCCTATAAAGACAGAAACAGGATCTAGCTAATCAAAAAGATAAATACCCAATGCCAGTGGCTGCGTGGGGTATCTGAAAGGAGAAGAAAAGAGACAAACCTAATATATGACTTGTCTTCAGATAATGAATTAAGATTTTTCAATCCTCTAAAGACCACAAGTTTCATTGACTCGAAATAAACTAAATAAGACAGAAGAAATACATTCCATTTTGTTTTCTTCCACTTGCTAATTCTACCACCTCTTCAATTCTTAAGCGCATCTGCACTGAATTTGTGATACCCCAAGAAATACCAACAAGGCAAACATCACACCCACTTGTCCCTATTCAATTTACAATGATTGAGACAATGGTCGACTTAAAGCCCTGCCTCCTTACATATACAAAACCAACTGAGAAATGTTCCACCCTTCATTTAATTATCAATCATGGGTATCTTACCATGACTCACCAGAATTTACCCTTCATTTAGTTATCAATCATGGGTATCTTACCATGACTCACCAGCATTTACAAACTATTGACTTTGGAGGTACCTCTCCATTGCAAAAACTTACCAAGGACAGCAAGCCATTGCAAAATTTACCAACACATTGTTGTATGACCTAAACCAAGAAATACTAGTGGGCAAAAATCATGGGATTTCTTGCAAATGTTAATCAAACCACCATGAACGAAATGAGAACAACATTAGTAATGGTTATAGACTCTTAACCATGAAACACTAGTTGTTAATTTACTTCTGACACGTGGACACATAACCTTATGCCTGGATGAACAAAGATTTGTTGAACAAGGAAAAGGAAAAACGCCTAATGCCTAATCCCCCCAGCTGAATAGAACTGCACACCTTCTCCCAGTTAACCAAATGAAACTTAAATTTGTAGCCCATACCACCCTATAAAAATTTCATTTGCAACTTCTCAATTCGCTTCACCACAGAGGCAGGATCTGAAATAAAGATAAATAGTTGGTTGGAAGGCTCGAAAGGGTACTTGTTGAAATATATGTATTATTATTATTTTTATTTTTTTATTAGTTGTTTTCAGCCTTTCATTAGGTGTTTTATGTAAGATTCCTATTATCATGGGAACACGTAGATAAATCCGTAATCATGGGATCACGTAGATAAGATCCCCATAATTATGGGATCACGTAGATTTTGGCATATTTCCTATTTTTCTTTGATTTGGTTTCCTTTCTTTGTACCCTATTCTTATATATAAATATAGCTCTTGGCTCTCGGTTTGAGGAACCCAAAACTTCTTCTTTTTGTATCAGAGCAAAACAAAAACCTTCGCCTCCCCAACGCTGCCACCTTCTCTCTCCCTCTCTCCATTTTCCCTCACCTCCGGTGCACCTCCATCTCCTCCCAGCCCTTGCGCCAGACCCTTCGGGTAACCCTCTATTTTTTACTTCATTTTTAGGAGAATTCCCTTAGGTTTTTTTATAACCTAAGGGTCCTTTTGGTGTTTTTTTTCTTTGTGGGCTGTCGGTGTTTGTTCGACAGTATATTTGGAGGAAAGCGCTAATTTTTCCGACCTTGTTTTTTCCTCTTTCCTCTTTCCTCTTGCTTTGACATGTGGACCAGCCTTATTTTGGTACTATGACTGATTCTAGTAGCCAAAAGGACAATTTATCCTCGGTCCAACATACTTTATCTTTGGCACATCATACTCCGGCACAGCGGGTTACTAATGTGCTCTTGAATGGGCGCAACTTCGTGTCTTGGTCCCGTTCTCTTCAACTCTATATTGGAGGGAAAGGGAAAACTGGTTGGCTTTTGGGTCTAGTCAAGGAACCGAAAAAGACAGATACTAAATATATTGCATGGGACATGGACAGGTGCACCATTCTGGGTTGGATCTTCAACTCAATGGAGGAGCTTATCTATAATATGTTCATGTTTCACACTTCCGTTTTTCGTCTGTGGCAAACCTTTAACAAGATGTGTGCCCATTCCCACAATGATGCTCGTATCTTTGAACTCTATCAGGAGATTGCTCATACATCTCAAGAGGCACTCAAGCTGTAAGTATCAGAGTATTTTGGGTACCTCCAGTCTAGGTGGGAAGAATTAGCACAGTATGAACCTCTCTCCAATTTCTCTGAAGAAGCTGCAACTCTTTTGGTCAAAAGACTGGACCGCCAGCATACCTACCAGTTTTTTATGGGTTTACGATCTGAATATGATGCTCTTAGAACTCAAATCATAAACACCTCTCCTATGCCTGATTTATATGATGCATTCGCTACTGTTGACCATGAGGAGCATAGACGTCAGATTTCTCAGCCAGTAGCTATACTAGAGACTCCAGTTGTTCAGATGGCTCTAGCTGCTAATTCTAGACTTTCAGAGGGAAAGGTTATTTGTCAACATTGTGGAGCCACGGGTCATATAAAGGATTGTTGCTTTAAGCTTCATCCCAAGCTAAAGCAAAAATTTTCTCGCAATCGTCCTTCTGGTTGTGGCCGCAATGCCGCAGTAGCCGATACTAATTGTGGGTATACTACTCCACAGATTGTTGTCCCTCCTGCTTCAACTCCTCTCAGACCATCTTTTCAGGACTTCAATCAGTTATAATCCCAGATTGGTCAGCTTTAGGAGCAATTCAGAGCTTTATCTACCAGGGTTGACTCTTCTATTCCCACAACTACTATAGCTACAAGTACTCTTTTTGCTTTTCATATTAAAGCGGGAAAACCTACTTGGGTTCTGGATTCCGGAGCCAATGATCACAAGACTGGTGAGTTGTCATTATTTCCTACTCCTGTTACCCCTGTTAATCAAGCTATTAGTCTAGCCGGTGGGTCAACCACCAGTATTCGTAGTAAAGAAGATGTTCATCTATCCCTTGATATTATTTTGCCATTTGTTCTTCATGTTCCTAACTTTGCATTTAATCTTCTATCTGTTAGCAAACTTGCAAAATCACTAAACTGTGCAGTGATTTTCTTTCCTCATTAGTGTGTTTTACTAACTTGTGTTCGAAGAGGATTTTTGGTAAGGGACATGAGCATGATGGCCTCTACTACTTTAGGGATCCTCCACCGACACCTCCTCCACTTACTTCAAGCCTTCAAGCCTCTGTTATTCCAGTTTCTAGTTCTTATGATTTTTCTTTTCAGACTTTAAATTTATGGCATACTCGCCTTGGGCATGTAAACTTTCAGTATTTATGTCTGCTTTTCCCTTCATTAATAACAGGTTGTAAGGATAATAATATCAATGTGATATTTGTGAGCTTTCTAAACATACTAGAACGAATTATATTTCTCATATGCATCGTGCACCTAGTATGTTTGATCTCATATATTCTGATGTGTGGGGTCCTTCTTCTGTTACTTCTTTTTTAGGGCATTGTTATTATGTCACATTCATTGATGATTATTCCCACTGCACATGAGTATATTTACTTAAAAAGATATCTAGAGTTTTTCCCTTGTTCGCTCAATTCCTCAAAATGATCAAAACTTAATATAAAATTGTTGTTAGGAATACTAGGTCTGACAATGGTCGTGAATATATATGTTTCCAATGAGTTTTGGTCTCAACTTAACCAACAGGGTATTCTTCATTAACTTACTTGTCCGTATACCCCTGAACATAATGGTGTGGCAGAAAACCGCCAACTAATGTCGTTTGATGTCTTTTAGGTGGTATGAATGTGCCAAACTGCACATCGCAGTTCTTACAACTACTTTTCTCATTAATCGTACCCCTAGTAGAGTATTAAATGGTAAGGCCCCCTTACAAGTGCTTCAGCCTGATATTACTCTTTTTTCCAACATACCTCGGGTGTTTGGATGTACATGTTTTGTTCAGAATCGTAGCCCTTCTCGTACTAAACTTGATGACAAGGCCATTAAATGTATCTTTTTAAGATACTTTTCAATGTCAAAACGTTACCAATGTTATGATCCTGTACACAAACACATGTATCACTCTCTTGATGTCACCTTTCATGAGCATATCCCTTTTTATGGTTCTAATACTATCTTGCAGGAACCTTCTACTCCCGATCAAGAGGCTTCTCCTCTTGCTCGTCCTCTTCATATTTTTCAAGAAGAGTCTTCTCTTGTGGTTTCCTCACCCCCTTTACAGGTGTATTCTCACTGCCCTCGTGCTCCGCCTCCACTACCTTCATCCTCCTCGGATACAGGTTCAAGTACATCTCCTCTCTCTCCTTTACATTTCCTTGACCCTGTTACTGAGTCTCAGTATCCCACTCGGGACCGCAAACCCCTTGCTCGATTTGGATTCGCTTGTAGTATTGATCATCATGTTTCGCAGTATATCTATTATGGTCTTTCAGGGTCTTACCGAGCCTTTCTAGGCAAACTTGATTCCATTTCCATTCCCAAAAATGTCTTTAAGGCTCTCCAGAATCCCAATTGGATGTCTGCTATGATGGTAGAAATGGATGCTTTGTAGAAAAATGAAACATGGGAACTTATATATCTCCCTCCTGATGAAAAGACTATTGGTTGCAAATGGGTATTCATTATTAAATATCTGGCCGATGGCTCTATTGATCGGTATAAGGCCCGTTTGGTGGCCAAAGGGTTTACTCTTGGTAAAGACTTTCATGATATCTTCGCTCCAGTGGCTAAATTGACCTCAGTTCGTTTACCTATCTCCCTAGCTGCCTCTTACAATTGGCCTTTCATCAGCTCGATGTGAAGAATGCTTTCCTTAATGGTGATCTTCTTGAGACCATTTATATGGATCCTCCACCCGGTTTTTGGGCTGAGGGGGAGTATGCTAGAAAGGTCTGTCGATTGTGGGAGTCTTTTTATGGGTTAAAACAATCTCCCAGAGCTTGGTTCAACTGCTTCAGTGATGTAATTCTATCCATGGAGTTGTTAGATGTCATTCTGACCATACATGTTTTATCCACCATTCTTCCACTGTCGATGTATCATTCTTCTTGTCTATGTTGATGTATCATCATTACTGGCAATGACATCCCTGAGATTGCTCTAAGTAAACCTTCAATTGGCTAAAGCTTTTGATGTGAAAGACCTTCGGTAGCTCAAATATTTCTTGGGAATTAAGGTTACTAGATCTAAGCAGGGTATCTCTTTTTCACAAAGGAAGTATGTCTTGGATCTTCTTCAAGACACGAGTATGCTTGGGTGTAAACCTGCTTCCACTCCTATCAATCAAAATTTGAAGATCTCGGCTGAGTTTGAAGATCTCCTTTATGATCCCTCGCAGTATCAGCGCTTGGTAAGAAGATTGATTTATCTTACCAACACCCATCCTGATTTGGCTTTTGCGGTTAGTGTTGTGAGTCAGTTTATGCATGCTCCTCATACAGCTCATATGGATATAGTATATCATATTCTTCGATATCTTAAGTCCTGTCCGGGACTTGGATTATTCTATTCTTCTTCCAAAAGAAACAGGAAGAATCCCCGTGGTCATATGCCTTCTCAATATCCAGCTTGCAAACAATCCCCAACACCCTACTACTGAGTGTGGACTCCACACGCTCACAAGCAATCAATCAACATAGAATCCAAAATCTGACACCAACCAACAACGGCAATTTGGAGAGTCGATATCACGCTATCGATAACACTACTCAACCTCAATGCAAGAACTTTGGCTATAAGTTTGAAAATCATCTTGGTCGATTTCACAAGATAATTTTCAAGTTTAGGTACAACCAGAGCAATGCAGATCATACAGTGTTCATAAAACGATCAAGGGGCAAGACTACAGTCCTCATTGTGAATGTAGATGAAATAGTAATGATAGGACGAAGCAAATTTAGATTGACATCCACTTCATCAAAGACTGGTTGAATGATGGAGTGATTTCTATGCCTTTCGATAAATCAGAGGATCAGTGGGCCTATGTGTTCACTAAGGGTTTTAGTAAAAGATTATTTCATTCCATTGTATACAAGTTGGGCATAACAGATATATATGCAGCAACTTGAGGGGGAGTGTTGAAATATTCGAATGATTGGATATAATTCATAATTGGCGTTTGGGGGTATCTTTGTAATTGTTGCTTATTCAGTAATATAAATAGATGGGGTGTAGGGATGTTAGAGATACTCCTGAACCCTTTGCTTACATCTCTCTCTCCCTCTCTCTAATATTCTCAAACCATAATCTTCCTGAATGAATTGTTGATTGTGTAATACATTTCAATTCCTTTTCATGTGCATTAAAATCAATTGAATAGAGATGTTTCTTAAGGTCTCACAAAACAACATCCTTAAGAAGATTGAACTAGACGCTATATATTGTTTATGAGTGACAACCTTCAAAAGAGACGTCAAATTGTCATCAACTGGTGTTGCATGTGTAAGGAGTCAAGGGAGTAAGTGAACCACCTCCTCTTCCATTGCCCAGTGGCGAGAGATGTGTGGGCTATGCTCTTGGTTATTTTTGACATGAGTAAGGTGTCACCCGCTTCTGCGGTTGACATGTTGGAGGCTTGGAGAGGGTGTATAGTGGAGAGCCGAGCCAGGGATGCGTGGAGGGCCACCCCCCTTTGTGTATGGTGGGGCTTTTGGCTCAAGAAGAATAGGAGGTCTTTTGATGGGGAGGAATCTCCTATTTGTTCTCTCAAATACAACATTCTGTCTTCTTTAATTTTCTTTTTTTTTTTTTTTTTTGAGGTTAATGGGGATAGTTGTAAATCTTTAGAGCTTCTTTTGGAGTGTGTGGATAGCTTGAAATTATAATGGTGCCTAGGGCGTCTTTTGTTCTTGGGAGCACTCCCCTTTTGAGCGTCGTTAATGAAATCTTACTTATAAAACCCCAAGGGGTTGCCATTGGCAGCTATTTTGGGTTGCGGAGTGGAGGCTTTTCCATTTTCTTATTTGGGGTTGCCATTGGGTGCTTCCTCGAGGAGAGTTGTTGTTTGGGATCCAATGGTGGAACGTTTTCAAAAGAGGTTATCTGGGTGGAAAAAGCAATACTTGTCGAAAGGGGGTAAACTTACATTGCTTAAGAGTACTCTATCTAATCTTCCGACATACTTCATGTCTTTGTTTCCAATCCCTAAAACAGTGATTTGCAGACTTAAAAAGATTAAGGGGAATTTTTTTTTTTTTTTTTTTTTTGTGGGGGGGAAGGGGGGGTATAGGGGAGGAGTTTAAGTATCATCTTGTGAAATGGGAGAAAGTGTGCACCTCGATTAAAAGAGGAGGTTTGGGTATTCGCAGGTTGGAAATGTTTAACAAAACTTTGCTAGGGAAATGGTTATTGAGGTTTGGGTGCGAAAGACCCGTGCTTTGGAGGCGTGTTATTGCTTCTCGGTTTGGAGAAGAGGAGGGAGGTTGGGTGTCTAGAGGTCTTAATGAATCAGCAAGCATGGGTGCATGGAAAGGTATCAAGAGGGGGTGGGATGAATTCTCCAAGCGGATACGGTTACGAGTTAGGGATGGTCATTGTGTGCAGTTTTGGATGGATGTTTGGTGTGGGGATGTGGTGCTAGCTGGTAGGTTTCCTAGACTTTATAGGATGGTTTAGGAGAAGGATGCGGTGGTGGCAGATAGTTTTAGGTTAGAGAATGGGAAAGCTAGTTGGGATGTGAGATTTCGCAGAAATTTTAATGATTGGGAGTTGCTGGAGTCTACTGAATTAATGGGATTAATTTATAGTCAAGTGATGGAGGGGGAAGGAAGGGATGAGATGGTGTGGATGGGGGATTCAAGAGGGGGAGTTTAGAGTAAGGCTGTTTTATAGAAGTCTTACGAATTCGACAAGCAGCGGGTTCCCTTGGAAGGTTGTATGGAGGACTTCAGCTCCACTTAAGGTGCCTTTTTTCACGTGGATAACGGTGCTTGGTAGCATTATTACTCCGGATAATCTCAGGAAAAGACGACAAATAATAGTTAATTGGTGTTGCATGTGTAACATGGCGGGAGAGTCGGTTAATCATCTCTTGTTACATTGTAGAGTGGCAGTGGATGTTAGGAGTTTGGTCCTGAATGTTTTTGGGGAGGAATGGGTAGTGTCAAGTAATACGATGGATATGTTGGAAGCTTGGAGAGGAAGACAGGTGGAGAGTCGGGTGAGGAAGGCGTGGAGGGTTGCACCTCTTTGCAATTGGTGGGGGTTGTGGCATGAGCGGAATAGGAGATCTTTCGAAGGGCAGGAGTCGCCAGTGTGGGTTATCAAGGCGAATATTTTGCATTCTTTTTATTCTTGGGTTAATAGGAAGAATTGCCCATCTGTAGATAGTTTGTTGGATTTTGTTGACAACTTATCGTTGTAATGCTGCATTTTATGTTTCATGTTTGCTTTGTTAAGGGTTCGCTCCCCTCTGAGCGCGTTTGTTAATACATTTTTACTAATCAAAAAAAAAAAAAAAACCAAGGGGTTGGCTCAAGTGGATAAGAACTTGGCTCAGGAAGCATCATGTCAAGTTCAATCCTCTTGGGTGCAAACAATTCCTTGAAGGCGAAGGGGGGGTGGGGGTTGGATTACATTAAAAATATATATATATATATTCCTCCATAAGTACCAATGATCTTAACTTTGATAAAGGGGGGGCGGATTACTTTAAAAAAAAAAATGAAATTATTTTCCTCCATAAGTACTAATGATCTTAACTTCGATAAACTAATATAAACATTTAGGCATCAAAAGCTGAATGATTCTGGACATATATGACAACAGTTAAGTTTTTTGGAAGGTTATGATAACAGTTTATTCCAAGAGCAAGATCTATATTTAAAGGTTCAGGATCCAGAAAGATGCATAAAGAAAGAAGGTACACTAACCTTCCACCCCAGTGTGGAAGACACCAAGGCCTGCCCAATAGAAATAGCCATTGATGGTTGTCAAGTCATACACATTGAGATAAACAGGTGTGCTGCCAGGATTAAAGCTTTCTGACTTCACTTTAGAGAACATGCAAAAATGGGCAGCTGATTTGCCTCGCAATTGAATAGGCATGATTGATTGCCACCCATTCTTTGATCCTGGTTTCATGTTTGAAGGGTGAAATGAGGAGTCAATCAATACTAAGTTCGAACCTGTAATATAGAAAAATAAGCATCAGTGACTACATGAAAAGGAAACATTGCGACGTGACAACGTACAAAAATTTAAGTTTGACGGACTTCTTACTTATTGTTTTCACGCAAAATACTTTCCAAGTGAAAACTAAGTAACTATCAGGCATGTTGTTTCCATTTGCTTCCCTAATAACCAAGAAATTCTCAATTGACATTATTAGTAAATTATACCTGAAGACCTTACAGTTCTGAAGTAAAATAATGAATTATTTGGTCACCAATAACTTAGCATGTCAAATGCCGAACAGGTCCAATGCATCACAATTTGACAGAAACTCACACCATACACGACCAATCCATTTATATGTAAATTTATTTTCCATATAATATTATAATTGAATATACAATAATAACTAACAATTTTAACAATATAAATTCGGTGTAGTATTATGCAACAATGAGAAATATCTTATTTGGTTATAATAATTTTACAAGCTTTATTTCATCTAGTAAGCAGGATAACCAATATTTCTAACTAATTGAAAAGGACTACATATTCAAAAGTCAAATATATCCAGAAACCATCATCTTCTTGATTTTCCATTAAAAAAGGTCAAATTGGATTTTAAAACTAAACGAATTGCCTCAGTTATGTATGTATGTGTAGCTGTGTACACTGTACATCCAGATATCCTCAACTCAACTAAGTCTTTTTCCCGATATTTAGAGACAGGTAGATGAATCCTGCTTTTCTTTCCAGTCTCTAAAACTTTAACCTCAAACAAATCACATGTTATCACATTTTTCCTTACTATCTCAACTCATGTTAGTTTTATTCCTCCGCTTCCCTAAACATTCATCAGCTCCGACATGGTAACATCATCCTTCCCTGCTGAAACAGTTATTGGTTTTCATCACACATGACCAAATTATCTGAATCAATTTTCTCACATTTTATGGCAGAAATATATTATATTAATACAAAACTAATTGCTTATGTCACTTAAGAAGGAAACAGTAGCAACAATGAAACCCTCCCACTCCCCTCAGTAGTCCAAAAGAAAAGATATTCAAGGGAGGACCGAGGTTCAATTGATGAACCTACTCTTGTGAGGGATGATCAATGGTTTCGATTGATCGAATCCCTGCACTTGGAACACTTAGTTTTTTAAATAAAAAAGACTTTTATGCATTCTAAACATCTTTTTAATGAACCAACAGATGTATGCAATTTCTCTAATTATGATTGAATGATGATAATGCATGATTAGAACCCTAATTCGGTGAGTGCACATTTGAGATTTAAATTTACCTTTTTACCATTGTCTAAATTAAAAATATCCATGAAATCTTTGGATACCGGTAACTTCAACTAACATTAAAAAATATAAATAAACTGAGACCATTTTTTTTTTTTTTTTGATAAGTAAAACTGAAACCAAAAGTTACACTCTTATTTTTATCCAAAATTTACCAACCTATGTCCTATTGATCTAGCACCTTTATCCTTACAAAGAAAATTAAAAGTTGACCACGAAAATAAGTCGAAATTGAAGTGGAGCCCCATTGTTCCTCTTTTTTCCCCCTTTTTCTACAGATATTCAGCATGTTTCTTTGTTAACAACTAGATCCTAAATCCATGATCATATTCCCCTTGGGTTTAGGCATAAGGAGTGTGAACAAGGTGATTTAGTCTATATGCTAATGTCAGGACGATATTAGTAACATTGTACATAGTGCTAAGAAGAGATGATGGGAAGAAAACTATATAAAACATTCTAAATAATTTAACATGTCTTTAGGAGTGGTTTTGACATTTCATGAAATTCAATATCTTAATAACCGTGTCATCATATTATTGATATCACACCTCCCCCCAATGAGAGACTAATGTCAGATGCACTGCTCGAGTTCTGCTACGTGTTGATCAACAAATCTATTCCTCACACGACGTGCTTCTTTCTTTACGATTGTTCTCATTCAGCTAGCTGTCTATACTTCTTATCCACTGATTATGTGGAACATCGCGATGAATTCTCTTGAATCTTGTATGATATTAGTAACAACACTCAAATATAACTCACCATCTAATGAAGCATGCATATGATGAAAAGATAAAAAGCAATGCACTCCAAGCCTCTGTCCTCTTTCAGGTTGCTAAGATGCTTTAATGATCATAAATAATGCGTTTTGAAACATTAAGAGATTTCATATCAGTTTTAAGGCTGAAATTATGGTTTTAGTACTTGAACCCAATTAGGATTAATCCACAAGGTTCGATTGATCCATCAATTGGATCGATCGGTTGAACCAGGGCAGCAACTACCAATTGATAGGATCACTATCTTGAGCTACATGTTTTATAAAAACCTTAGATTTTCTATTAAAAAAACAAATTATCTGATGTAACCAGTCATATATGCAATGCAACCTAACCATGATAAATGATGTGAATGCTCAAATAAAAACCCTAATTTGGTGAGTTAGTAGTTGAGATAATTTTATCTTTTTGCGCATAATAAAAGCCTTGAATTCACTCCATTGAAGCACTTTGGATAAAAGTTAACACATAGCTAACTAACTAAACTGACATTCAAAAAGCAAACTCAAAAATAAAAATAGACTCTGTTTGTACGAAATTTGCAGCCTAACTCCTAAATGACCTAACAAACCCCATTCTCGAGCGCATGAGGAGTCGGTTTGAAGGCCAGGTGTGACACCAAGATATGCCAAGGAACGAATTTTTTCACTACTACATGAAGGGGGTTACGTTGCTTACAAAATTAAAATGAAATTGGTTAAATTGAGAAGGGCTTTCAGTGTGTGATGCAAGCAACATATACCAATTACGTCGCAACAAAAATAAAGCAACTATAAGACTAGCCCTGTTAAAGCATGTTCACAAAATGAACTCAACTAAAATGCAATGTGTGGGTTGATAGAAATTATGATCTTAGACGATAGAATGGCCAAAATAGGATTCATAGAGCTAGACAAGGCTTAGTGAATTGAATTAAGTTGGATTCCTGAACTACAATTTTACAAAGAAAAATTGGCCACCATTCAAAAGAGCTTCCCTGAGGATATTCATAAAGAGATCTCACTCTTTTTGGAGAAAGTAGAAAATGCTGCCATTATCATACTTGAATTAATTCTTAGTACAAAATAATAAGCCTTCTCATACTTTAAGGCTCTTTATAACTTTAATGAATATAAGAGCATCACCAATGACTGCAAACAAAATTTACTCTCTAACAGTCTAACCTCCAAATTAAACATTATCTTACCAGGACATGACCTACAAGGTAAAAGGAGAATATTGGGGATTTCTTTCCTCAAGCATCTTGTCACCTCAATCCAACCAACCTCTTGGAGCACTATTGATATTTCTGCAAGGATACAAAGGACATGAATTCTTACTTTGAGCGTATATCTTCCTAAGGACATCAACCACCAGTGCAATAAGATACTTAAAATGTACCTTGAATTAAGCCTCGTCACTTTAATCCATCCTTTAGGACTTAGGAGAACCATTGATCATTGCGGCCAGTAGGCAGATGACATCATGACACATATCCTCCTATCTACTATTTCATCAATCCATGAACTATAAGTAACTTATCCACCATCTCTTGAAATAATCAAGTAATTTCCATGGTTGTCTATGTATTTAGTTAACATAAATAGGACTTGTAAATCAGTCTAAGTTTAGGCAATATTTGCAATCAAGTGTTTGTCAAACTATGGAGAAATGCAATATATATATATTATAATGCACCAAATGCCATCAGAACTCCGCAGTTAAGCGTAACTTATCAAAATAACTCCGCAGTTAAGCGTAACTTATCAATATATATATATATATATATATATATATATATATATTATAATTCTAAAAAATTCGAGGATAATTTTCCCTAAAACTTAATGCTATTTAATATCTTCCAGGATTGACACAGTCAATTCTATATTATAAATGTATTCCTCTTTTTGTTTATGCTCATATATATAAACCTTTATTCCACTCTAATAGTTAGAGTCTGAGACCTTCTGAACTTCTCGAAAATATGTAATACTAAAGCAATTGAAGATCAATTTCCCGTAGTCTTGTCAGACATAAATCCTGAGTTATCAATTTTAGTCTCTAGAAATTTCTTCTAAAAATATGGCAACTGTTTGCATAACATTTCCGTCATTACTGGGACTGCAAATTGATTTTCATTGCATATGACAAAACCACCTCAATCATCTTGTAGCTAATTGTTGTTGCAAAAGATCAGATAAGTAAATTATTCAATAAATTTTCTACTCATCCATCACTGCGCACCATCTCTGTTGCGTGCTTAGATTAGAGCACAGAGTGAGTACATCAATCAATAGTTAGCAATGTCCACAAGATAATGAAATTTGCCCAGATAAAACAAAAATGAACATTTCAATGCAGATAGATTAAGATAAAATTTATAAAAAACTAACAAAAACTAAGATGGTACATTGCCCTTGTGTAAACCCTAGTTTCTTATTCTTTCTCTGTGCTTGTGTTTTTTTTTTTTTTTGTTTTGTCCCTAAGTTTTTTCTCTTTGCATATTGACTGCAGCACATTCTAGAATTTTATTGCCTATTGACAGCTCACCTGTCATCACAAGTTTTAGGAACTTCACTCTTTCGGATAATCAACAACCATGAAGGTTAAACATCTCAAAGTAGTGGCACCCACCCAAGATTAATAAAATTGAAAATATATGTGTGTGTGTGTGTGTGTGTATATATATATATATATTCAACCCAACAAACAAATCAAACATAATCCTCTAGATTTTACCCATTAGTCTCAGATTAATAATAAAAAAAACTTTTTTAAAAAAATTCCTCAATAGTTGACTCTAGATTTCTAGAATATAAAATCTAACAGTCACCAAGTGCTGATGAATATTTGAAGAAGGCAGATCAGGTTCACAAAAATAACCCAGAGGCTGAAAAAGGAAATCAAGTAATGTAGCTTATGAGAACAAAACATTGTCAATGAAATTATAATAAAGGTATAAAAATCACATCAAGAAACACAAAATTTGAGGAAATAAGCCAAACCCATTACAGGAAATTGAAAACCAGGGAGACCCACTTACCTTATTGGAAAAGACACCCATCAGAACATGAAAGGATGACCCTCCACCAAAATGCAACACAACCCACCATCCTCACTACAGAAAGAGAACCTGAGAGCGGAGTGTACTTGTTTGTATGCTAAACATAGTTCTGACAAATACCAAAAGCTGTGAGCACTGATTCACTGGCCCCGCAGACACACACACACACACACAAATGTATACCGTGAGACTTAAAAGTGAAAGAGGCTTTGTTTTAGCATTTACTATATATATATACCTAGTCTAGGGAAAATATAAATGTAAGAAGATCTATTATACTTAAGACCCCAAGTACAGTGTTGCTTCAAGGGTTAGTTGCTTCGGTGGTGGTGTTGTTAGTTGTTACTGACCCACAACATTTTTGTTATAAAAAAAAATATGTATATATATATATATAATTAAAATAAATAGACTTGTTGATATCCAAAATTTGTCCGTATTGGCTGCACCATTATTCTGTATTCAGCCAAAAAATAACGACTAATGTTTTAGATTTGGAATCTGGTGACTTGTAACAAGTTAATTAATTAGTATATATTTTTAATTTATGTTTGCAATAGTGATCAAATTGCCAATCAGGAGTTGCCAAGTCAGCAACAAAAAGGACATGATTAGGAATTTTAAGTTTTTTTTTAAGTTTAATTTTTTTTCCACCAATTTTATTAAAGTGAAGTCCCAAAATGTTGCATGTATTTAATTACCCAAACATATGTTGGATGTATTTGTCAGCTTGTAATCATGCAATTGGTCCACAATAAAACAAAATCATGCACCTGGTGGGTTGGCAATTATTCAAACTTTGGCGTGTCCATGTTAATAAGTGAGACTCATCAACCAATCGTATGTTCTATGTAGAATGAATGACGTCAATCAACCGTATCTTCCATATATATATAGAATGAATGATGGATTTATTCGGTAACCACTATTTTAACACTTGCACACTTATTTAAACCCTCCCACTTCTATTTTACAAAGTGATAAGGTATTACTTACGACTACATAATCTTTGATAGGAGGAGGGGGAGTTTGAAGGATAAAAGTTTTCATCATCGTGTCACATATTTTCATGACGTGTCTGATGTCAATTTCTAATTTATATTTCTTAATAAAATGGAAGGAACAACACATTGGTTTCATTTTTGTTTTTCATAAGAAAAAAATTGACAAGAGATACTCTTCTTTTTTTTTTCTTTTTTCTTTTTGGCAAAAGAAATAGCCATACGGCATTTACAAAGCATAACCAAACAAATCAACACTAAGCAAAGTCAGAGGACAAACAGCAAACAAAGCCACCATAATATAAGATATGGGCCTAAAGCCTTTGCAACCATAAAAGCATTCCACGTCCCAGCCCAAACTAAGACCCATAGTCAATTGGTCATTTATAAATGTAGGCCACAAATAGGGACTTAAAGCTGGACCAAACTTAACATCAATCCCAGTTAATATACTCATTATTTCAATCAAGTACCTAATATTATGTTTATCCATAAAATGTGGGCCCAACATTCTAGAAACAGCAGTCTTTGCGTTTTTCCCACGCATCAACAAAGGAAGCTTTGACTTGGGAGCCCACAATGTGAGAAACAAGAAGACCTTGGGGAGTACGAAGACCAAACGTCAGGAAGGGACCAAACGTCGAGAAGGGACCAAAAGTCGATGAACCACCTTCATTGTGAGCCTCGTCTGTAACAACCAAAAACCACCAAGAACAGAGAGCAGCAGAAAATCCATGCATCATATGTTTTCCAGCCTGACAAATCTTTCCGGCAACACCCAGCCATGACCCATAGTCAATGGCTGTCGGAGGAGAGGCATCATTGATTAGAACAAGAGAAATGAGCATCAAACCTGCTGCAAAAAGTCGCCCAACTCGCAAAAGCCCGAAACGCGTTGTTTGCGGACGTGAGAGAAACGCCGGCACCCAAAAACCAAGAAAACGAAGCACCATAAGAAACGAAAAATCGAATCCCAAATATCGTACCCACCGACAGACAAACACTTGCAACAACTAACCATAGCCCAAATGCCATGGCCATAGACAAAAACTCGACACTTATAAACGACTGACCAAAAAAAGTGAGAACTAAAATAGAATCCAATAAAACCAACCCAATACCTCGATCAAAAGGAAAAAACTGTGGAGATTGGCCAATAAGCCAGCCACCATTCAAAACGCTCAATCTAACAACCCAGAAGACCCAAAAGTCCATCGAATCCGATCGCCCACATAAATGTTTTCCTGGATTGAATAGGGAATCCATCCCATAGAAACACACTAACTAGGATAAATATAACTCTGATGAACAGAGCACCTTTACTTAGAGAGGAACGCAGAAATTTTGATGAATGGAGAGTTTGTAATTTTTCACAATTTACTTTAAAAATAAAAGTGGCTTTCACCACTAAGGTGTTCTGAGGAGACTGGGAATTATTTTATGTCATAGTGTTTCTATAGCCAGCTCTATGACGGCCCGAATTTCGAAAAACCCGGTGCGTCAACGTATAACCCGAAACTGATTCGATAACAAATCCCAAATGCGGATACAATGAAAGAGATGGAGTCTCTAGGGATGGACACCACCCCTAAGACGACAATGTGACTTCCTGAGAAATAACGGAACACAAAGAAACAAATGAGGAAGCTAGATTTTTAAAACAGACAAAGTGAACCACTGTGGGTAAAATGGTCTTTTAAAACTAAAATGGATGCTGCTTTGCATACCATTGGATAGAAAACGAAAAACTAATGAATTTAAACTCAAAAATCACTTGATTTGTAGTTGAAAATAAGAAGATGTGAATTTTCGAAGTTTAAAAAAAATAACAAATGAGTATGCAGTTGCGATCAATCGCAGATGGTACGACCGATCGCAGAAGTATACGATCGATGGGCAATAGCCAAATCTTGAATTTTAGAAAGAATAAATGCCCAGTGCAATAGATCACAACCTTTGCGACCGATCGCAAAGTTTGCGAAACGATGAAAAGTGACAAAAAAGGTGCCCCACGACCAGTCGCAACCATCTGCAACGAATCTCAGAATTTGCAACCGATCATGATGGGGCTGGCTGCGACCGTGAAGTTTTCAAAAACGCATATTTTTCGAAGTGAAAATAGAATTTTTTGGAAAAAGTTTGTGAAGAAACCCCCACCAAAAATGAGTTTTCTAACTAACCATAGTTCAAACCCAAAATAATATGCAACCTAAAATGCCCCTTAGATTATATAGGTCGTAGAACAAAAACTAGCTGAAATTAAACATGCTTTCAATACGTCAAAAGAGATTGTCCCTTGGCCTCATTACATAAATGTTGAAGTATAAACATAATAAGACATTTAAGTTCACATTACATGCCCAAAAGGAAGCAAACTATGCTTTTAAACAAGTTATACAATTGTAACAACAAAACTAGTTAAAACATGCAAACACTTGCATGTCAAATGTACACAAAAGTAATCCAAATGCAACCAAGCCAGGTTAAGGATGGTGAGCATCCAAAAACAAGGTCTCCTTTCCTGAAAAATGAAATTCAACTAGGGTGAGTAAACAAGTTACTCCGTAAGATGAAGCGCATGCATATACCCTAAAGTTTCAACGGTTCTTTGCAACGTAATATAAATCAAACATATGTGGATCATGCCTCCTTGATAAGCGCCGAATATTGTATATTCAAGCGCCTTTAATTGCATTAGTTAAGTCCATTGTTCGTTTAATTATGTAGATTACTTTCATTTGTATGTTTTTGTGCATTTTCAGGTTCAATTGCAAAAAAGGAGCAAGAAGGGTGTTTTGTAGAGTTTTTGAATATCAAGGTGCCAATTCTGGAATTCTGGCAGCAGTGAAGCCCGAACTTTGTTCTCCATTTTGATCTACCAAACTCGAGAACTGGACTTTCCTCATAACATGAAAGATTTAGAGCTCTGAATCAGCTTTCCAAATCTTCAAGCGGTTCATCATTCGGAGTTCGGAGCAGAGAGTTATAATCTTCTTATTAGAGGTGCTCAGAACTGCCTGGCAGCAATGAAAGTCTGCCTTGTTCTTCAATTTTGACTAACCAGACTTGAGAATTGGATCTCTACCAAAACATAAAGTTTTTAGAGCTCTGAATTAGCTTTCTAAATCTTCAAACGGTTTGTTATTTCAAGTTCGGAGCACAAAGTTATAGCCATTTTACCAAAGTAGGTCCGGGCGAAGCAAAGCAAGCATGGAGCAATCTGCTCCAATTTCGAGTGCTAGAGGCCTTGCTTCGAGTGCTCGAAATTCAGGCAGAATTGCCTTCGGGAATTCTCAGTTTGGCAGCCACTTGTGCATTGGTTTCCTCATTGCTACTTACTTCTTTATGAGGTGGTTGGGGATGTTTTTGGAAGGGGGAGAGAGGCCTTACCTATACAAAAGAAGAGAAAGGAGGCCACACATTATTAAGCTTCATTTTGAGAAGATAGAAGAGAGAGAAGAGAGCAAGAAAGAGGAGTTCTTCAAGCCAACACAAGGGAGCACGAAAATGGAGTTGGAGGCCTTGCTTCCTCCTTCATCTAGAGCTACCATGGGTAACTAAACCTCTTCTTAGGGAGTTGATGTAACCCTTGTCAAGTAAATATGTATTAATTGTGTTTATATTTGGGGAACTTTGCATTTATGTAACAAGTTGTCTAATCTAGAGATACACTTTGATGTATTTGTGTTTCATTCCATATTTAATCTTGTAGAGACTCTTATCTTGTCTTAGAAATTGTTTCTTCATGATTATGCTACTTACATCTTTATAGTGAGAATGAAGATGAGATTATACAATGGTTTTAATGGCATGTTGTTTAAGAAATTTGATATTCCATGGCTTAGGGAAACCTTTGATGGATTATGGCTTAGTTCTTGACTTCATGTGCACTTACCACACAAATTGAGGACTTTGATAGTTCATAGCTTAGGAAGGATACTTCATTCTATACCCTAGTTTAGATAGATGACTTATGCCAACCTTGGATGGATTATACTTAATTCTTGAATGTGTGAACTTCTTGAAGATATTGTAGTTATCTTGCATTTCTACATATCATGGTTGCATGTATACTTTGTTCCCCAAGTTAATTGCAATTAGGCATGTTTATATGGCTTGTGGTGAAGTCAATTCCCTAGTCTCTTCTCTATTGTTCTATCTCTTTACTTCCTAGCACACTATTGTTTTATGCACTTTGAATTCCTAGTTTAGTGACTAT